GACATCCTCAGTAGAAATTCTGTGGGTACACATGGCTCAGGAGCCACGCAGACCTGGACTTGTTCCCCAGGTCCTCAGATGCTAGGGACACTGAAGTGACCTAGCTACGAAGGCGTCTTGTGAAGAGACATGGGGTCCCTTGAGTCGGAAGCAGTGAGGGATTCACAGAGCCCCACTTGATCACTCCTTCCTTAAGTCTGGAAGTGAGGCCCACCCTTCAGCATCGGTGCCCCAGGACCCCTGAGGAGAGACAGCCATGCTTCTTGCCCCTGGGGTCATTGAGGTGGAGCTTGGGGTGAGGGGGACAAATCAGGGTCTGACCAGTGAGAGACGCATATGGGGTCCCCAGCGTGCTCACCCTCGGGATTGTAACAGCTGTGGTCAAGGTCACCTCCGATCATGGCTGAGGCAGGCAGAGGGAGGCCCTGCTCTGGGCTGCTTTCTGCAGCCGTGAAAGTTCTGGTTCATGGTCAGTTTCCCCTTTCCCTGCCCCCTTCCTGCCCCTCCCCCTCTCTTCCAGCCCATGCGGGGTGGAGGCCGCCATCTGGCAGAGCAGGAAGCCAGCTTGGCCCTCTGGTTCGCTTCTGCGGGGGACACGCCCTCTCTCGGTGTCCTCAGATGGCCCTGCCTTCCTCAGCAGCTCATTCCAGCCTGGGCCTGACCTCTTGCCTTTTAAGCTTCTTGGCACTGGGCAGTGCTGGTGGCAGGGGTGGTTGGCAGGGTGGCAAACGGCTGTTCATCTTTCGTGTCTGTGACTAGCTACTGTTTGTTGGCTGGGGCTGTCCCAGCCCCTTGCAAGCCCCTTTCACACTGGCCCGTTTACTTCTCACCAGAACCTTCCAAGAGGTGTGTCTTTCTGATGCTTCACCGGGAAGAAGCCAAGGCCCAGGGAAGGGATGTGACCTGCCTGTCTTCCCAGGGGTTAGGGTCTGAATTTGAATCCACATCCACCTGATCACACAACCAGGGCTTGGGGCGAGGCTTTTCCTGGACCAGTTACTTAGAAAATCACCAGTCGTTCTTTATTTTTTTTTGGTGGGACTGGGATTTGAACTCAGGGCTTTTTGCTTGCAAGGCAGGCACCTACTGCTTGAGCCATACGTCCAGTCCATTTTGCTCTGGTTATTTTGGAGATAGGGTCTCTCAAACCATTTGCCAGGGCTGGCCTTGAAGCACCATGCCCCTGATCTTAGCCTCTCAAGTAGCCAGCATTACAGGTGTGAGCCACTGGCACCCAGCCCAATTGTTACTTATAAAGCTAACCAATCCCCCCCCACCCCCCAAAAAAATCTCTAACCAAAAATAAAGCAAAATGAAGTAGGAAGTAATGTTGGGGAGTGGAGGGTTGGTTTTGGGGTACCTTCTGGGTGAGGAAGATGAAAGGTAAATACAACAGTCCAGGTACTGATGTCCTGCAGAACAGAGGTGGTGACGGACAAGGTGGGAGCCTGACAGTGTGGGGGGTGGGGAAGGAGGCTTTTTAAAGGAGGTATGTGAGTTGGGTTTTGAAGGGTGCGTAAGATTTTGTTAGGCAGAAAGATACTGCAGAAGCAGGCTCTAGCAAGAAGTAGCTGGAAGGATTCACTCACTTACCTTGCTGCTAGGGGTGCCATGAGGGCTGGGACCACACCCTTCCTGCTTCTCTGGTGCCTTGGACACCGTTTGGGTCATTGCTCGAGTTGGCCCATTGGGGCTGAGGGCAGGAGAAATGGCAGGGGAAGGAAATGGGGTTTGAATGTGGGAGCTCTCAGGAGCTATGACAAGGACTGGTTCTTATAAAGACAGTAGGGAGCCATGGAAGGTGGTAATCCAGAGGGGAGAGGATAACCAAATCTGTCTCTTCATTTTTTATTCGTGTGTGTGTGTGTGTGTGTGTGTGTGTATTGCTGAGAATGGAAGCCAGGGCTTGTGCTGGCGGAACAAATGCTGTGCCACTGAACCGCACCCTGGCCCTGTCTCGCCTGTCAGTGCAAGTGTCTGAGTCTTGGAATTTTCCCCTGAGCCTGGCTCAGAGGAATGCCTGGCTGCTGTTAGACACACACAGGAAGCTCTCCTGTGTCACTCGTCATAGAGAGGAGGAAGGTATGCCGGAGTGCGATGGCTGAGGGCAAACGATGTCGGAGGCGGTCGCCCTGATGTCTTGAGAGGTGGGGTGCAAGTCCGCAATGCCTGTCCTCATTTCACGTGTGCTCCCTGGCTCCCAGCACTTCATTCCTAGGATGTTCTCTCACAAACACGCCTGCTCAGGTGTGAAGTGTAGGCCCCCAGCCTGTTCATTCAGCGTCACATTACTCCTTTCAAGAGCAGCCCAAATGTCAAGGCAGTTGGAGGTGGACTTAAAGTCAAGTTTGTCTATACAAGGCAGCTGCCACAAAAGAGGAGGAAACCTCATCTTGAATTTGAGATATGCTATTAAGAGAAGCCAAGCAGTGGCCAGGTGCGGTGGCACACGTCTATAATCCCAGCTACTCGGGAAGTGGGCGTAGGAGGATTGAGGTTCAAAGCTAGCCTGGGCAAAAGCTTAAGATCTTCTTTGAAAAGTAAACTGAAAACTGGGGTGTATGGCTCAAGTGGTAGAATACTAGAAGACCGTAAGTTCAAACCCCAGTACTGCCAACAAATTTTATAAAAGAAGAAAGCAAGTTACAGAATATCACATGTAGTGTTACCTCTGTCCGTGTGATAACAGAAAATATATATGATTTACTTGGGTTTGTGAGGCAGGGTCTTGCTATACAGCCCAGGCTGACCTCAGACTTTTCATCCTCCTACCTCTACCTCTTGAGTGCTGGGATTACAGGCATGAATCCCTGTGCCTGGCTAGAAAATACATATGCATTTTGTTACATGTACACAAGTAATTTTCTGGAAGGATGCACAAGAAATTGATCAGAGTTGCCTCTAGAGAGAGGAGCTGGGTGGTGGTGGGGTTTTAGGGAATGAGACAGGAAAAGCACTCGTCAAAGGAAATGCAAGAACTAAGGAACTGCTACCCATGAAGGTTGGTTTCTGGTATCAGTTAAATAAAAAAGCAAGGTTCAGAATAGAGTGCCTTTCGGGAACTCAAGCAGGCATAGATTGGGAAGAGTTTCTTAAGGTGTCAGTTAGCAAGGCTGGTTTGCCTGTGGGGTGGCTGGGGAGGTGCAAGTTAAGAGAGACAGACTGTTTTTTGCCGTACCCCTTTTCGTGTAGTATGAAAAGTTGTATATGCATGAATCAGTACTGAGAGAGCAGGACACATGCGTGAATGCGTGCATGTGAATGTGACGGGGTGCACAGGTGCGGGGCGGCGCACGGGTGGTGGATGGCAAGCAGTGGATGGATGGATGGGGTCTTGGATGGGTGGCCAGGTCTGTCCACACAGACACCAGACGTGTGGATGGATGGATGGATGGATGGATAACTGGTTGCTGTGGGGAGGAACGAGCAGGAGCGGGAGAGCTGGAGGCCGGTGGGGCGGATGTGCTATTGCAGCGGTCCAGGCAAGCAGTGAGTACCTGGAGGAGGAAGGAGCCTCCTTTGCGGGCTGTCAGGGACCCATGCAGCAGGCCCAGCATGGCTTCCTTTCTAGAAGGGCACATTCCTTCCGAATGAGCTCTTCCTGGCGACCGCTCAGAAACCATTCTGTATATAATCACCACCAACTGTTCAGTCCTCTCTCAGCTATCACCTTTGTACTCACAAGTGCTGTGACCCCAATTAAAATATCCAGTCTGTGATATAAATCACTCCTCGCCACATCAAATTCTTACGAGGCTGTTTCCAGACGCCCAAGTCCGCAAAGGTGGGGGCTGTACCTACTTTCCTTCCTTCCTTCCTTCCTTCCTTCCTTCCTTCCTTCCTTCCTTCCTTCCTCCCTCCCTCCCTCCCTCCCTCCCTCCCTCCCTCCCTCCCTCCCTGCACCCCTCCCTCCCTCTCTCTCTTTCAGCTTTTTTGTGTCTTGAAGTTTGCTAGCTAAATCTGTGTGTGTGTTCGCCTTGTCGAGTTGACTTTTCTTTTCAGGAATTGCTTGTTTTCAGTGCTGGGAAGCTTGTATCATAGAATAGTTTTACTTCAGAAGAAGCACTTTAGGTAAAGTCAAACGCCTTTATTAAACTTTCTAAACTGGACATGGGGACACACCTGTAATCCCAGCACTCGGGAGACCGAGGCGGGAGGATTGTGAGTTTGAGATCAGCCTGGGCTACATGGTGAGACGCTAACTCAAAACAAAACACCAACAATTTTCTGGCTGTCTGTTTTTAGGCACCCAGTTCAATAGTGGCAAGTCTGTTCCTGTCGTCTGTAACAGAGCTCTGGATTTCCCCGCCTTAGCCCCCCAAGTGCTGGAATCACAGGTGTGCACCACCACACCCAGCTAGATCTCTGTTTTGAAATTCTTGGGACACAGGTTTTGATGAGATGGTCAACTATTTTCTTCCATTCTTGTTTTGTTTTGGTTTTTTTTTGTGCTGCTGGGCTTGGAACCCAGGGCCTTGTGCATCCTAGGCAAGTGCTCCACTGCCCTCTTTTCCTTTACCTATTTTTTTTTTTTTTTGGATAGGGTCTCACGCTTTTGCCTGGGGCCAGCCTCCCACGTCAATCCTCCTACCTGTGTCTGCCCAGCTTATTAATTGAGATGGGGTCTTGCTAACTTTTTGCCCTGGCTGGCTTCTAACCTCCATCCTCCTGATCTCCACCCCCTGAGTAGCTGAGATTATAGATGTGAGATGCTGTGCCCAGCCCAACGGACTCTTTAAAGCACACAGAATGCCCTTCAGGGCCCTCACATGGCAGTCTCCATCTTCTGTGGGCAGTGGGTCCCGCCACGGCCCGGGACCTTTTCTGTCCTTCGCTCCCATTACCCACTTTCCAGTCTTTGTGGCCTTTTGAAGTTGGCATGCCCTCAGTTGTGGGATGGCGTCTGGGTTCATAAACCCCATAGCAGCTGGGCTGGTGCTCCGGGGGCCCTGTTCCTCAGGCGTGTGTGTGCTGACCTGTGCCTGCATTTGTGTCCCTAGGACTGGAATGTCACGTGGTACACCAGCAACCCCGACTTCACCAAGTGCTTTCAGAACACCGTCCTCGTGTGGGTGCCCTGTTTGTACCTCTGGGCCTGTTTCCCCTTCTACTTCCTCTATCTCTCCCGACACGACCGGGGCTATATTCAGATGACACACCTCAACAAAACCAAAACTGTAAGTCATCTGGGATGGCGCCGTGGGGAGTTGAGGGGGACATGGCGGGGACCTGGGTGAGAAGCAGTGAACGGGTGGTAAAACTGATTTTTCTCTTTTTCTTTTTTGGCCGTAAGCTTTGTTTCTAGAAGGGAGAGAATAACATGGTGAACAAAAGCTGGAGCTTTGGTGTTGAACACAGTTTCACCTCTGGGCTCTGTCACTTCCTGGCTGTGTGACCCTTGAACAAAGCTTAACTCCCAGAGCCTCAGTTTCCACACTTGTGCAGAGTGGATGGTAGGCTTTTTCTCAATGGTTACCAGGAGATTAGCCTTTCTTCCTTATTGAAGCGATTGCTTTTTCTTCCAAATTGCTGTCATTTTGAAATTTCGTACAGTAGGAAGACTGCAAGGATACCAGAAGCCTCCCAGCATTGAATACCGGCTTTTGGTGTTTTGTCGTTTTGTTCTCTCGGCTCTCTTATTTTTTCTGAACCATTTGAGAGTAGACGGCACCCACCCTGCCTTAATTCTTGAGTTTCTCCCAAAGCTGGAGCATGCTTGTAATCTCAGTGCAGCTGTTGAGTTCAGGACAGTTCACATGGACACAGTACTTCTTCAGAAAATCTACAGTCTTCGTTCCACTTTTGTCCTTCTCCCCTTTGGGCACTTTGTGGCATCCATCCCAGGCCATGGCCACCTGATGCGTGCAGTCCCGTGGCGTCTTCAGCTGTCTGTAAGCAGAAGAACGCATCTCCCTCCCTCGTCTTCATGACATTGATGTAGGTGGATGTTACGAATGGTGGTTTTGTACTGTGTTCCTCTACTTGATCGTGGGTGATGTTTGTTACCACTTTGGTTCAGACAATGCGCTTCTGGTTTGAAAACTACAGAAGGGACAGGTGTCTTTGTCAGGGCATGTGACAGTCAGCTCTCTGCTGATGTGACAAATAACCTGAGCTAGGCATTTTACAAAGAGAACAGGTTTATTGTGGCTTTTGCCTTGTAGGTTTCAGCCCACGCTCAGGCAGGCCCATTGCTTTGGGCCTGTGGGGAGGCAGCACGTCATGGCAGGGATGCGTGGCAGAACAGACCACTCCATGGCCAGAAGAGAGAGAGGAAGGGATCAGGTCCCACAGGCTCCTTTGAGGCCATACTCCTGGTGACCTAAATCCTCCCACTTGGCCTCACCTCCTAAAGGCTCAACCCACCTCTTGGTAGTTTCCAGCTGGGCACTAGGCCTTCAACACAGAGGCCTTTGGGGACGTTCCAGATCTGAGCTACAGCTGTGTTCTGTGTGCCTCTTACCGGTCAGGTTAATCTGTGTTTTTTTTTAATTTGCAGTGCTGGGCTGGAACCCAGGGCTTTGTCCATGCTCGGCAAGTGATCTGTCACTGAACCCCACCCCAGCCCAGGTTAATCTTGCTGGCTGATTTCCCCACATGTCTGATTTCTCCCTTATGACTGATCAGCAGTCACAGAGGAGGGGTCAGTCGCATTTCGCATCTTGCTCCTTTATCCCCACATTCTAGCTAGACCTAGCATTTGTCTCCATTCTTTTTTTGAAGCCATATTTCCCAAGACTGACTTACCTAGACCTTGGGCTAAACAGGCTCGAGTAATTTTGCTGAAGCCTTTGCCTGTGATTCCTTACACAAGCCTGGCTATTTCATACCACAACCGAACCCTCACTTAAAATGTTATGTAACGTGCAGATTAAAACAGCAATATACCTCCGGCTGCCTGATGTGGCGGGCACCGATGACACCGTGGCGTGGAGCCACCAGAATGCTCATTCATTGTGGGTGGGAGTGAAATGGAGCCACCACTTAGGCAGGCAGCTGAGGGTGTTCTTACAAATCCAAGCAAGCTGTCACCATACAGTCCAGCAACCACCTTGCTTGCTAGTTACTCAAAGGAGCTGAAAACTTCGGGCCACACAAAAGCCTACACGTGGGTCATGGTCGCAGGGGTATGCATCCTTGCCAGAGCTTGGGAGCCACCAGAATGTCCTTCCGTGGTGAGTAGACGAATAAACTGTGCTCTGTCCGGATGATGGAGTATTAGCCAGTGCTGAAAAGAAATGACGTGGAGAAGTCATGAAGACGTGAAGATGGCAGGGTCTGTAGGATTCCAATTGTATGAGGTTCTGGAAGAACAGAAGTATGGGGACAGTGAAAAGATGGTGTTTACTGGGGACCGGGGGGTGGGCTCAGGGCAGGCAGGGTCCTAGGGCAGGCAGGGTCCTAGGGCAACCACGTACTTTGTGTGTGGACTATAATAATGATGGATACGTGTGCATCTGTGCAAACTGATGGCCCCGAGAGAGCACGCTGGGGTGACTGGACTGCGGTGATGAGTACACATGGGTTGTCAGTCCTAACGCATGCACCCCTCTGATGCAGATGCGGGGTGGGGATGGGAGCTCTCTGTCTTCCTCTTTTGGTTTTTCTGTGGCCCTAAAACTGCTCTCAAAAAAAAAAAAAGCCTTTAAAAAACATCCTCTGCCTCCCTGTCCATAGCTAGCGCATCGTGGTCTATGAATCAGATTCTATCCTCGCTTTGCTCAGCTCCCTTACCCCAACCCCAACCCCAACCCCAATCCCGTTAGCTTCCCACTACCTGGAATAAAATCTGGAAGGCTTCCTGGTGGCTCAGTGTCACCCAGCTCCAGGTTGCTCTGCAGCCATCCCTCTCCTGCTACGCACACTGCTTACTCCGCAGCAGTGACAAACCCTTGGCCTGTTCCCATCATGGGGTCTTCACACTTCCCGTGCCCACTGCTTGGCTTTTGCTTTCCTCCACGTAGTTACTTTTTTCTTTTCTTCTTTTTCTTTTTCTTCCTTTCCTCCCTCCCTTCTTTCCTTCCTCCTTTGTCTGTCCATCTCACTGTGTAGCTCATGGTGACCTTGACTTCTCTGTCCTCCTGCCTCAGTCTCCCGAGAACTGGGATTACAGGCATGGCCACCACATCTGGAGTTACTTCCTTTTTGACTCTGCTCTGATGGTGCCTGGTTAGAGAGACCCTTCCCAACCTCTCTGCCTTAGCTGCTTGTTTTTCCACACAGTACTCACTACTCTCTGGCATAATGCTTTGTAGTTTTAGCTTTGCTTCTCTTCAGTTTCCTTCCACTCGTGTCAGTTTGACAAGACAAGAATTTTGGCTCACCGTGGTTTCATAGCAGAAGCATAGCCGGCAGTCAGTAAGTCCTGGCTGGATGACCACAATGGCATGAACACTTACTGTGTGTGGGGGGTGCTTTCTGCAGCATGCCAGGGTCACAGATGGCCACTGAGCTGCAGGCTGAGCACTTGAGTTTTCAGTGCTGGGAGGAAAATCAGCCAGACACAGAGTCGTGCTTGGGCAGGGAGAGTGGGAAGAGCAAGCTGCTTACAGACCAGATGACTGTGGCCCTGCTGGCCGCTCACCCTGCCCACGACTTACCCATAATCCAAAAGATGGCCACATAGCCGGGTATAATGGTACGTGCCTGTAGTCCCAGCACTTCACAGCTGAGGCATGAGGATTGTGAGTTTGAGGCCAGCCTAGGATACGTAGTGAGACCCTGCCTCAAAAAAACAAAAAAAGAGAGAGATGAGTGCTGCCTCGAGCACCTGGGCTGGCTGGTCCCAAGGTGGCTTCTGTGGGCTGCTAGGGAGGTCAAGTGCATCTCTGTGAGACATGTGTTGTCTTCTCTTCTCTTCCAGGCCTTGGGGTTCCTTCTGTGGGTCGTCTGCTGGGCAGATCTCTTCTACTCTTTCTGGGAAAGAAGTTGGGGTGTGTTGCTGGCCCCGGTGTTGCTGGTCAGCCCAACCCTCTTGGGCATCACCATGGTAAGTAGGAGCTGGCTGTGAACGCTTGGCCCCAGGCCAGGTACCCGGAAGACTGAAATTCGCAGCTGTCAGTTACAGGTGAGAAGATATCTTGGTGAAAATCCAGAAACCTGGCAGGAAATCCTGGCATCTGGCGCTCCTGGTCTCAAGCATTGTTTAGGAGGGCAGTCAGCAGAATGGAGATAGGCTACCAACAGGGTGTGTGCTGCCCTGTTAGCCACAGTCCCCACCCTGCCCTGTTGGCCTCCCGCCACTGAGGCTGAACACCTTAGGCAGGTGTCAGCTCTCTTTGTGTTTGCTGTGCTCCATTCTTGGGTTGGCTGCTGAAGCCATGTCTACTCACTGCCTAGAACCTGATGAATTTGGAGTTTTCAGGCTTTGGTTGAGGGGGAGGGATACCAAGCCAAATAGGAAACAGCCATGGCCCATGGAGGTCCACAGGTCAGTGGGTGACCAGATGGGGAAACTGCCTTGTCAACTACAGCTGATGTGGGTTGGGTGCTCACTGTGCTTGACAGGACGCTTCAACTTCGTCTTATTCTCAGATCAACCCTGTGAGATTGGTACTGCTTTGTACCCATTTATAGGTGAGGAAACAGGCACAGAGAGGTCTAGTGCTTGCTTAAGGCCACACAGCTCATAGGAAGCTGAGCGAGAGGTGGGGCCCCAGCCATCCTACTTTCTTAGCTGCTGCACTGTGCAGCTTTTACGCCAGGACCACAAAGTGATGAGCTCGGAATTAGGTGCTTTGCACATGTGCTGTGTGGCTCAGGTCCCCCAAGAGGCCTGAAAGGATCGAGAGAGCAGAGCCCTGGGGTGTTGGAGGAGAAGCAAGCATGGGGCAGGCCGTTCTGGGCAGGAGAACAGTTTGTTCAGAGAAGGGCTAGAGGCTAAAAGGGAGTGTGGGGAAGGAGGTGAGACGTGGCAAAGATTGGGGAGGGGGGAGGGAGGGAGGGACAGGAGATGTGACAGATCGAGATCAGGGAAGGACCACACACCTCGTGGCACATGGTGGTACACAGTGTTCGCTGAGTGTCAGGCACTGGGCCAGTGTCTTCACGGACCAATTCATTCTCGTTACAGAAAAGTGTACGGCTGGGTGGAGGAACTGGGCCAAGGTCACACAGCCACAGGTACTGGAGCTTAGGGTTTGTTTGCTTAGCACCTGGCTCTCCTGCTGGGCTGGGCTGGCCTCCCTCTGTGACCTCAGAGTCTCAGGCACTTACGAGGTAGAGAGCAAATACTCCAGGTGTTCAGACATGGGAGAGAGACAGCGAGTAAATGATGCCCTCACGAAGACACGAAATGTGTACGTGTGTGCAGAGCACTGTGGAGCTTGGTGGGGTCTGTGGGGTGGGGAGACGTCCCTGAGGAGGGACGATGGCCTGAAGGCTCAGCAGGATACAGTGGCCGAGGGCAGAAGCCTGTTGAGTTGAGAAGAGCACATGCAGCAGTCCTGGGGCAGGAGGAGAAATTGCGAGTTGGCCCCTGTGGCTGGAGCCAAGATGGAGAGGAGGGAGAAGTGGGGATGGGAGGGAGGGCAGGCGGTCAGGCAAGTGGGCAGACGCTGGTCCTGCTGTCCTGAGCCTCAGGATGGAGTAGCTGGACCTGCGTCTCCCAAAGCTAGTCCTAGGCCTTCGTTAAGCCTCCGACGCTTTTTGCTGATCACCAGTCTGGGCTCCTTAGTGCTCTTTTGGCAGTATGGGAGTTTGAACTCGGGGCCTCGAGCCACAGCCCTGGCCTCCCTGGTGTTCTTATAAACATAACACGCATAGGACCATAAAGGAAATTCACGCATGCACGTGAAGATTTTGTGATTCTTGTTTATACTTGGATTGGTCTAATTCACATTTCAGTACAGCTCACCTTTTTTCATGTAGCTTCACGAGTTTTGAGGTTTCGTGTGTTTTGAGGAGCATGTACTGCCATGTGACTTCCATCTCTACAACTGGGGGATGTCCCATCACTCTAGAGAGTCCCTGTGGTCAGCAGTGTCATCCCCTGTCACTTTCCTGGCTGGTCACTGTGTTCGCAGAGGCCAGGGCTGAGCCTCGAGGGAGTGTAGCTGGAGTCCGGCTTCACAGCCCCAAGGTTCAGCGTGCTTTGCTTTAATTGTTTACTTATTTAATTTTTGTTTCCTTTGAAAGTTTTTTTATTAGTGTTGTATATATTAATTATGCAAATCAGTGTGTTTCATTATGACATTTCCATGCATTTAGTTTTGGCTGTACTGAGTTTGAACTCAGGGTGCTCTACACTTAGCTGTGTCCACAGCTCTTTTTGCTTTAGTTTATCTTTTAGATAGCATCTCACGCTTTTGCTTAGGATGGATTCCGATAGTGATCTTCCTACCCCTGCCTCCCATGTAGCTGGGGTTGCAGACATGCACCACCATGCCTGGTTTGTTGGTTGAGATGGAGTCTTTTTGCCTGGGATGGCCTTGAACCTTGATCCTTCCAGCTCTACCTCCTGAATAGCTGGGATTACAGATATGAGCTACTGTGCCTGGCCCTTAGTGTATATACATTTATTATACAAAATAGAGTTTCATTATGACACTTTCACAAATGTACATAAGGTCTTTTTAAAAACTGCTGTATAGAATTTGATTGTGTGGCCTTAGCACACACTGTTCAGCCATTCCTCAGTTGTGGGATGTGTAGGTTGGGACATGAGTCAGATTCCAATACACTAATCACAATATGAAAGACACATTTGATCAAAAAGACGTCAGCTTTTCTGTTGCTCTATTTCACGTCCAGTTGGGATAGCAGTAACCTGACTACTCCTGTGGGACGAGGAGATTTCTCATTTCTGAGGAGATGACCCTGGGGTGTGCTGACACCTTTGTGCTGTGCTGCCCCACTTCTCATTGGTGGTGATGATCATAAAACTCAAAGGTGTCCTTGCTACCTGGTCAAGTTCACAGTGCCCTGGATTCTCTCCTCAGCCTGTCCACACCTGAGGTTAAGACCACTGGCCCTAAGGAAAGGCCTTTGAGCGCTGGTGGGCATTCTAATTCCACATGCTTATTTATTTCTGCAGTGGTGGGGTTGGAACCCAGGGCATGCTAGACACTTGCTCTGCCACTGAGCCATAGCCCTGATTCTATGTACCTAAGGAAAGGCCTTTGAGCGCTGGTGGGCATTCTAATTCCACATGCTTATTTATTTCTGCAGTGGTGGGGTTGGAACCCAGGGCATACTAGACACTTGCTCTGCCACTGAGCCATAGCCCTGATTCTATGTACTTAAAACTGGCTCTGCCCTCTGTGTGAGAAGAGGTCAGCAGGGCAGGAGTGGAAGCCACCTGGCATGAGGGGATGAAGCTGGAACCTGGGTGATTGTTAGGTAAACCGAATGTAGACCTCAAAGACGCATCAGTGAGAATTGTTGATGGATGGATATGGGAAGAGAAGGACATGGGAGGACCGAAGAGGAAGAACGAGGATGACAGAAGGACAGATGTGTTTCTGGACACAGCTTCTGGGGGGATAGAGTGACTGATTGTCCATTGCTCTGAGTCTGGCCTGTGACCCCGTGCTGGGGATTTGCTTGTGGAGGGCAGCTCCGCCTCACTTGGGAGTGACATGCTGTCATCTTCTTTCAAAGAAAAGTAACTGTTATTTTCTGTCTCCCTGTTAAAATGGAAGCATTAGTCCCTAGGCCCAGGAATGAAAGAAATCCCTGCACTGCCGTTGTACTAATGGAGTCCTTTGAAAGTGAGATGTGTGACCCCTGGCCGGAGATGTTCTGTGTCTGGGCCTCAGTTTCCATGTCTGCAGACAGGCGCCTAGTGTTTCCCCTGTACAGGGCCACACTGGATGAACGCATGTGAAGTACTTTAAGTGATGGACGTAGCAGTGCTAAATGAGGGAGAAGAGTTACCATTACCGCCCACAGTGGAATAGCCAGTAATTGCATGGGCTGGGGATTCATGGCTCCAAATCAAAGATTGGTGAACTACGGCCAGGATGTGGCCCTCTGCTTGTTTTGTAAATAAAGTTTTATTGACACACACGCACGCGCACACGCACACGTAAATAAAGTTTTATTGACACGCACGCACACACACACGTAAATAAAGTTTTATTGACACACGCACGCACACACACACGCACGCGCACACACGCACGCGCGCACGCACACCCCCCCCTGCTTGTTTGTGTAAATAAAGTTTTATTGACACACACACACACACACACACACACACACACACAATCACACACGCGCGCGCGCACACACACACACAGCCCCATCCATTCATTTACGTATTGTCTTGGTTGTTTTCATGCTACAGGGACTGAGCTGGGTCCCCTTGAGACTGGTCAGTGAAGCCTCAGGTATTTCTCATGTGACTCTTTAAGAAAAAAAAAAAAAAGTGTGTGAGTGTTAAGTTCTAAAGTAAGCTTTGTCCTCACATGTCTTGTTAAACTCCCACAACTGTCCAGATAGTGCTCTCATCTCTGATTTGCAAATGAAAGGTTCCAGAAGGTTCTGTGAGGTGCCCACATTCCTCTCTTCCAGCTGCTCGCTACCCTTTTAATTCAGCTCGAGCGAAGGAAGGGAGTCCAGTCCTCAGGGATCATGCTCACTTTCTGGCTTGTAGCCCTACTGTGTGCCCTGGCCATCTTGAGATCCAGAATCATGACTGCCTTAAAAGAGGTAAGTGGTGATCTTGCCCCACGGCTCCCTGTGGGAGAAATGTGTGCTCCCTCTGGCCCAGGTTGCCACGGGAACCACGTGATGGGTACCACAGGGGCCTAGCTTCCTCCCCTGGGATGTATTTACTCCACCAAGTCCTCATCAGCTCAGCTGCAGTCTTTGTTCTAGAACCTTTTTTAGAACCTTCTTCGCTGTTAAAGGAAAGTAGCGATGGCAGCTGGTTTCGACTTGAGTTCATGCTTTCTAGGTGCCATGCAGGGGCCAAAGTATGTTTCATAAATACTGTGCAATCCCTCAGCGACTGACGGGTTTCTCAGCATTCACTGACATTTGGTGCCAGAGGCAGCTTTGTTATGGAGCGCAATACTGTGCTGTGTGGGAAGTCAAAGGGTATCCCTGGGCTCCACCCCCCTCAGAGTCAGCAACATCCCTTTCCTCGAGGTATGACAAACAAAAATGTCCCCAGACACTTGTACTTGTTTCCTGGGAGTCAAAAATCACTCTGGGTTGAGGATGCAGGACCCTGTTTATAAGTGGGGAAACTGAGGCACAGAAACAGTAAGTTAAGGGGACGACATCCCCCTGCTGGTGTGAGCAGAGCCAGACCTCGTGTGGCTCCCCCACCAGGCACGGGTGAGAAGTGGGACCACGGGGGGTGGGGGGGCAGCTTTCCTGCTGTTCTGTCTCTGGGGGGAGGTGGGATATGCTGGGAAAGCCGGTGGCCTTCTGCAGCCTCCTCTCCTGGTTATCACAGAGTCCCACGGACTGGGAAATTTCTAGACAACAAAGGTTTACTCAGCTCATGGTCCTGGAGGCGGTCAGGTCAAGGTCAGGGGGCCTCATCTGGCGAAGGTCGTCTTGTCGGTGCGATTCTCTGCAGAGCCCTGGAGGTAGCTCTGTGCATGGCAAGACAGAGCAAGTGCACCAGCTTGGGGCTCTCTCCTCTTACAAAGCCACTCATGCCATCCTGGGTCCCCAGCCTCCAAATATATCACCATGTGACCTTGGGGATCAGCCTCACCATGAACTCTGGAGGCATAAACCTTTTTAGGCACAGCATGGCGTCCACAGCACGGTGTTTCCTTCCTTCTCAGGACACTCAAGTGGACCTGTTCCGCGATGTCACTTTCTACGTGTACCTTTCCCTTGTGCTCATTCAGCTCGTGCTGTCCTGCTTCTCAGACCGATCGCCCCTGTTCTCCGAAACCATCAGTGACTCCGTAAGTGTGACCACACGTGTGCCTGCAAGAGAAGCGTCACGTGATGTGAGGTACAGCTTATTGAGCTGTGTCAAGTGTCCAGGATACCGCTCCATCTCAAGCATCCAGAGACAAGCGATGTCGTCAGAAGGAAAAGCCAAGGCGTAGACAGGGCTGGCGTGCGTTGAGGGAAAGAATCTCGGTTTGCAGTTGTGGGTGTTTGTGTCACACAAGCCCGAAGCATTTGTTACTTGCCACAGTGATTTGAGAAGATGGGAGTGAAGGTTTAAGTATGAGGACTTTTCACATGAATTTTAACTGCCTGGCTTTTCTAGAAAAACGAGAAGCTTTGGCAGATTTGGGTCGTAATCCCACAGGGCATTTGGCAGGGGCTGAGGGAAGTGTGCATAGGTCATGGCAGTCCCCTCTGCTCCCTCTTGTCTTCTGCCATCGGGGTCGTGCTGGCCCTAGGGGTTTGGATTTGAGCCCTTGTTCAGCTTTAGGAATGTTCTATAGTAGTGCCTGGTGGAGCTGCCTGTAAAGAAAGGGTGCACGGTACTTCAACTCCTTGAGCCTCCCTCATCCCTTCCTTCTTTTTCCTCTCCCTCCCTCCCTCTTCCCTCCCTCCCTCTTCCTTCCTTCTCCTCCCTCCCTCCCCCTTTCCCTCCTTCCCCCCTTCCTACATGTACTGAGTGCTGGGCCACAGTCTGGGAAGGAGACTTATGGTGAATAAAGCACAGTCCTTGCCCACTAGAGGCTGGTGTTAACATGGAGGGGGGTAAACAGTGACCCAGGGGCTGGGGGGATGTCAGGGCAGTGGCAAATGCTGAGAAAGAAGAAAGCAGAGAAAGAAACGGAATGTTGGTTGGGGTGTCGTGCAGTGTCTGACAGTGTTTGAGGAAAAAGAAAGTTCAGGTGAGCAGAAACCCTGAGAGGGAGGGAATGGGCTGGGCAGACACCTGGGAAGGAGCAGTCAAGGCAGGGCTGCAGCAAGTGCGGGTGTCGCCGAGTATAGAGGGAACCACAAGAATAGCCAGTGTGCTAGAATAGCAAGAGGTGGAAGAGATGGTCCCGAGAGGTGGGATTGTCCCTTGGTGGGCTGGATGAGCTATTTGGATTTTTCAGAGTGCATTGGGTTGGGGTATTTTGTGTCGCTTTGTTCATGGTTAGTCAGCTGTGAGTGGGCGCATGGCATCGGGAGCAGTTTTCGGCTGCTGTGGGGCTCTGTTGGGTCTGCCTGAATCTTGCTTGGTGGGTGAGGAAGGATTTGGGAGCATCAGCATGGAGAGCGGGGGTGATGTTGGCCTCGAGACCATGAAGCCTGTATCCCAGGCAAGGTGTGTGCTGAGGGTCCTGCCCCTGGGTTTCCCAGCTCGGAGGAACAGGTCGGAGAACAGACTGGTCTGTGTCTGATTATGAGCTCATGTATCTGTGTGTGTGTGTTTGTGTGTGTGCTTGAATGTGCTTGTGTGTGCATTTGCATCTGTGTTCACACAGAAGTGTGTCCATGTAGATGGCTGCATGTGAATATTCTTGTGAGTGTGTACTCATTCACAGGTATGTGACTTGAGTGTGTGCGCACATGCCTCTGTGTGTGTATGTGCACACGTGTGCATATGTTGTTTGTGGATAAAGTTCAGAAAGGCAGTGATGGTGCCTGGGACACCCATTGGGTTCCTGGCCCATGCCTGGCACAAAGGAGGCACTCATCTGTGTGGCTGTGGTGTGTGTGCGTGTGGCAGCCAGGTGTCCCCATCAGGGGATCACATCACACAAGTCATACCACCTGTGTGGCTGCTGCCTTTGGGTTGCTTTGAGGGTAAACTGAGTCCAGGTGGTGCTGACTGACCCTTCAGACTTCTTGGAGCTTTTGTGGGGAGGGGATTTCTGCTCTCATCTGAGGATCTGGTAAAACCCTTCCTCTTCTCCCATATGCCTGTGCGTCAGGATGACGCAGAGCTGACTGGCCCTCTGTCTCTGCTTTCTGCATTCCCAGGACTGTCTGCCATTCTTGGGCAGCGTGAACCCCTCAGGCCTGGCAGCTGGAAGCTGGACTGTGGGGGGCTAGGGCACCCAATTCTTGCCTTAGTCATTCTGTCATTCTATCTCCTGTCTCAAGTAGCCACTGCTGTCCCACGTCCCTTGTGGTTGTCCCACAGGCTGCTCTGCCTCCGCATCTGTGGGCAGAACCTGCCCTTGGCCACTTTTGGGCACACAGAACGGCTTGAGTAGCCCTGGTTCAAACGCACAGTGGCTGGAAGGGGGGCTTGCTTTGTTTGATGTTCGTGGTGCTGGGAATCAAACCCAGTGCCTTGCACGTGCTATGCAAGTGCTCTGCCACCGAGTCATATCCTTAACTCAGGCGATGAGGCCTGGCCAGACCCTGAGGGATGGCTGTATTTTCCATCACCCATCTGTAACACGCTGCCGCATCAGTAGCTGGACACTGACTGGGCTTAGCCAGGTGGTTCTCTTTCACTCTGTCCTGTAGTCACAGTCAGCTCAAGGCTTCCTCAGTCTGGTGTCTGGCACTGGATGCTGGGCCCTGGCTGCGGCTTCACCTGGGGTTGACACCTGTGTGGGGTCTCTGTGTGGCCTGGGCTTCCTCTCAGCCTGGAGCCGAGTGTTCCAGATAACAGCTGTATCACCTTTTACCACCCACTCCCAGAGTGGCATGGTGTCACCTCTGCTGCCTTTGGTTGGTCAAGCCAGTCACGTAGATCATCCCAGGTGCAAGGGGAGAGGCCAGAGACCCACGTTTAGATGGGGGAGTGGCCAAATCCCGTGACAAGGAGGGCGTGCAAGTTGCAGACACTATTCTGTCTTTGGAAGACTCAGCCAGCCACGTGTCTTCTGGAAGCTTACGGTCCAGTTGGAAAATGGCTGTGACACAGCTCAGCAGATAGATACCCACAGAACTGTGAACGAGACGAAGTAGGGCGAGTAGAATGGGCTAGATTAGTGACTTGATTCTGGCTGCTCCCCTCCCAGGTCTGAGGCCTATGATCTGGGGTGATGCCAGGTGACAGGCCTTCTTGATTTGTCTCCCTGTCATAGGGAGCATTCAGTGCCTGCTGCTCTCCTATCCCAGAACCGGCAGCAGTAAGCACATGTAGTGACTCAGAGCGAGTGGTCAGCCAAGCCCAGAGCATCCTGGGCCAGGCAGGCCAGATGGTGGCCAGCAGAGCTGGCTCCAGGAGGCTGCCTCAAACTGCATCACCCAGGGTCCATCCTCCCAGCTGGCCCTGAGCACACTGCGTGACTCAGACATCTGTTCCTGCCCTGGCTTCCCTTTGTGCTCCTCCCTTCTGTCCTCCCGGCCCTGGGGCTGCCAGGGCTTCTGGGGGCTGAGCTGTGGCTGACCAAATCTTCTAAGCCTTTCCCGAGCCCCAGCCTCCCGTCCTCTATCTTCAGGTCGGGGAGGAGAGAGCCCCATGCAGGGCCCAATGCGGTCATTTGGTAGGTGCTTAGAATGCTAAGGGAGCAGCCGTATGATGCAGCTTCCCTGGCAGGTTAGGAGTCCAGCCTGATCCAGATGTGCTGGGCTAGGTTCTCATTGTAACAAGACCCCTGAAAAACATGGCTGAAAAACACGCTCAGTACATTCACTCATGAGACCTCAGGGCTCATTTAAAGTAAGAGCTGGTTTTAGTTCTGTCCGTACAATGTGGCGTGTGTTTTTCCAACAACATTTTACTCTGAACATTTTCAAACGGATGGCAAGGTTGAAGAACAGCCTAGTGAGAGCCATATGTCCCTAGGGCCTCTGTCAACATCGTGCTAAAGTGGCACTCTCGTGCATCCGTCTGGCCAGCCAACCTGCTCGTTTTCAGGATACCTGAAACTTACTTTGAAATGTATCTCTGGTGTCTTGACTCAGGTACTTCAGCTTCTGGTTTTTGGCTCTTGTTTTTTCTTTAAAGTGAAACTTAGCTTATTCAGTAAAATTCCTGATCTACCCCTGAGCCACCCCTCCAGGTCTTTTTTGTTTGTTTTTCAGATAGAGTCTTGGCTAACATTGCCAGGGCTGGCTTCAGTCTGAGATCCTGCCACTTCTGCCTCCTGAGTAGCTGAGAGTACAGGTGTGAACCACCACTCCTTGCTTGTTTGTTGAGATGAGGGCTCTTTACCTTTTTGCCTGGGCTGGTCTTGCCCCTCAATTCTCCTGTCTCTGCCTCCTGAGTAACTGGGATTACAGGTGTGAGCCACCACCCCCAACTTGATGAGTTTTGATAAGTGAATGGCTTCATCCCTGTCAAGATACAGAAACTAGAACCCCAGAGAGTTCCTTTCCTTCCTGGTCAATCTCTCCCTCCCCCCACCCCAGAAGCCTGACCTTGGACTATGATTAGAGCCTTACAAACTCCATCTTTTTTCCCTTCCTTCTTCATTCTTTCTGGCATTCAGGACCTCATTGTTGTGCAGGGCTGAGCTGGCTAGAAATGAGTCAACCTTGGCCTCCAGGAGTGATGCCAGTGGGGAAGCAGGCTCATAAAGTGACCCTTTCAGGATGGACAGTGGAGGACTCCAAGGTGGGGAGGGGCCAGAAGAGTGAACATCAGCTTAGCCTGGGACCACAGGACCAGCCTCGCAGGAGGGAGGGACATCAGAGTCAAAGGAATGAGAGGCCTCTGCAGGCTAGCAATCTGGAAACTGGAACGGAGGCTTTTCTGGGAGAGGACCCAGCATGTGCAAAGGTCCAGTGGTGAGATGGAACCAGGGCGTGTCTGGGGGAGTTGCATGGAATCCTGCGTGGCTGCTTGCAGGGGTCAGGATACAGTGGGAGGAGCCAGAGTGTCCTGAGGTAGACCTGAAATTTTAACCTGATTGTGGTAGGAGCCCCTGAAGGATTAACACTGAGATGTTGGTGACACTCACAGAGCCAGATAGGCAGAGAGGAAGGCTGCACCAGGACACTGAGTCTTTGTACACTATGGGGTCAGCAACCAGGAAAAGAAAATGGACAAGTTAATTGCCCAGGAAAAGGATCCAGGTGTGCGCTGCAGCAGAGGACATGGAGG